GAGTCTTGAACTCGCAATGCTCTGCTCTAGTTTGAAGCAACATTACAAATAAGACAAACTCAAACAAACACAATATGGAAATAAAGCGGGGGAAAGGATGCGCGTTAACGACGGCGCAGACATACAACTATTCGTACTTGATGGACGTCCGTGCTGCATCTGAAAAATTGAAGGCGCGATGGCGCGAAGCGTGAGCTCTCGATGCTGTGCTTCACGTTCAATTTTGCAATTTTTACTCCGTGCGATCAATAAACTTTGAGCCTGAAAATAGCGTAAACTTGTGCTGATTTGCCAAAATTTTCTGAGCCCCTCTCCACGTAGGGAATGCCCTACCAGGAAATATCACATTACGCCCCTTTCACCAGCAAAGGGTCTACGCCCTCAGATGCGAGCCAGTCCGACCCTGGGCATAAGTTCGCGCAAAAATGCTCTCCGCAAAAGAAAAATTTAGCGCCAAGTCTGCTTAGATTGATAAAATTATAAGTGGAAGAACTTAAGAAGTTCTAATTTTCGTCGATAACGTGTGTGGGTGTGGTAAAAAATAATGTAATTTTCCTATTTTAAGAATTGGAATTAAAGTGATAGACAGCTCAACCCTGCTAAAAATGGTGAGTACAAATGAGTAGAAAATCAAAGTCACATGAATAGAATTTCAATTCATATGAATAGAATTTCAACTCATATGAATAGAATTTCGACTTATATGAATAGAATTTAACTCATATGAGCATAATTTCTCTGTTCATTTTCGCATACTCATATGACTAGAGATTCCAACTCATATGACCAGTGATTTCAACTCACATGAGTTCAGCGTTGAATCTACCATGTCCGATATCTCAAAAACTAGTCACCGCATCAAAAAAATTACGAGGACAAAATTTTCTTATTTTTCAAATTTACGTGTTATGTCGGTGTCTCCTGGTCAAAAACAAGACTTCTGAAAAATGAAAAAAATTGAATTCATATGAGTTGAACTTTTCTACTCTTATGAGTGAAAGAGTAGAATATTCTAGTGATATGGGTAGGATTTCTACTCATATAAGTAGAAAGTTCTACTCATGTGAGTCGGCGAATTCTGAATAGCCTACTCGTCATTTTTAGCAGGGAACTACTTCCGCCATGAATGAAGTAAGGAAGAAAGATTCTTTTAAGAAAATTTCCCAAGGTAATACCGTGTTTTCTTCATGTCGCTCAATCTGGCAATAAGGGCGCGTCGAGAACAGCTCCGTGTGACAACACATTTTAATAGTGAAGGCATTAACCTGTCCCAGTCTGTGACAAAGCCGGGTGAACTTGATCGACTTACCCTACGTCGGAGAAGGCAGAGCTGCCACCTTCCATTAAAAATACATAGAAAAAACCGAAGAACATTTCGTGTTTCCTTGTAAATTTTAAAATCATCTCCCAACGCGCACACACACCCTTCTACAAACCTACACCCCACACAAAAAAAGAAAGAAAAAACAGCTTATTGCGTTTTATTAATCGTCGGTTACACTGTGGGTCAAGGAAACCTATGGCAAATGCGTTGAAGAGTAAAAATTATTCTCTCATTACCAAGAATTGTACTTTTTTTGAAATTGTTTATTCTTTTGTGAGACGTAGATCCGGTTTTAGAACAGTGGAGATTTTTTTACCTGCCCGTTGAGTTTTTAGGCTCCTTCCTGTTAAAAAGTTTAGTGCGATGAATCACTCGACAATAAACATATGTTAAAATTAGTATATGTAGATTTTTTCTTTCTTTTTCTTTTTCCACCTATGTTACAGTTTCCGTTTTTGATTTTTGCTTGAGTTTTTTTGCAGAACTATTCCCTGAACAAAAAGATTTTCGATTTTGCCATATTTAGAACGGTAAAATGAACATAGTATGATTCGAGCGATTTCTTAGCCCTAAATTTTGTTCTTTCAAATTTTCCAAATTTCCTTACCTATTTGGCAACAGTGCCTCGTGCCGAAAGAGCACCGGCCACTGTCCCATATGAGAACTCACGTTGTCAAATAGAACGGGCAAAATTGTGTAAATATACTCCAACTAATGCACAAGCGCACTGAGTTTAATGAGCCATCAATTTGTCAAACATGTTTGGATCCCGTACTGGGTGCTTGGTGACCTACATTCCTTTTTGAAGTCACCATCAGCGTGGACCACGACAGGTTACTCGAAATTCGACTTAAGGAGTGAGTATTTACTTGGCCGGGTGGGGCTTCAAAACTCCACTTCGAATTGCCTACGATCTTAGAAGAGCGTCAAAAAAGAGTTCAAAATCCTGTATGTGACCTTATTGTCGTTTATTTGAGCGTCATTAAAAAATTTCCAATTATTATAGTTAGTAGCCTTAGGCCTTGTCTCCACGGGCCGTTTCACGAGATTTGTCCCAGGGTTAAATCCCACTTACGAAGTTGGGAAAAATATTGAGTTATTCAATATTTTTCCCAGTACAAAGTATGGTACTCTTGTACCCCTAGGACCCACTGAGCGGAGAAGATGAAGTGAAACGAATTGTGCGATATTTTGTTCATTACTCCATTGCTAATGTTTGTTTAGTTAAAATAATGTGTATAACTGTCAATTGAGTGCAATTATTATTTTATTCCGGTTAAATACTCGACTTTATCTAATTTATCTTCCCGCAGTCGCAGGACTGTATGAGCCCCGTCCCGTGGAGACGATAACTGGGAAAAATCCCAGAAGTTTCATTCCTGCGATTCAAACTTGGGACAAATCCTGTGAAAACGTCCCGTGGAGACAAGGCCATAGTAATCTCATCTTTTGGTATGGTCAAATTTCATTTAATACGACCAATTTATTTGAGACTAACCAAATCAGCTATAAGTATAAGCTATAAAAATTTCTGGTATTGGTTCTCTAATTATACGACGTTTTTTCAAGCTATTTTGCGTGGTTATTTAATTTCTTGTAGGCTTTGAATTTTAATGTGATCATTCGTTAAGTTAGTCAGTTGTGAATAATCGAAAATCATACGGAGACTACTTAATATTTGCAATGTGATCAGTTAAAATTATGAAGGAGAAGTGTAATCCAAGGATTTTTGTTTTTAAGTAAGAGAGTAAATTTTACGTACGTAGCTTACAATTTAGAACAAATCTCTCTTCACCCCAAAAGAGATAAAATTTTTAGTTTGACGACGCGTAAAAAAATCGTTCAAAATGGGCAACATAAAGCAATTGTAAAATTTAACTTTTGAAAATAAAATTTCCTAGCGGTCTGGCCAGCAAACGACAGTATCTATTCGACTAATTGCACTAACGGTATTGTTCAGAGCTCAGTTATTCGCCATTGATTTGCAAATCGGCGAAAGCTCTCTGAAAGCAAAGCACAAAGAACTTAATTGGCAGCTTTCAAATAAGCCTTGACTTTGGCATTGAAATAACTCGTTCACACTCGCATACTCATCGAGCGGAGAAGCAGTTATTAAATCTTCACGTATTGGACGAAAGCACTACAGCCGCTTGTATTTCAAGTGTTGATTTGTTTAACCGTCCCGTTTTGTATAACACTGACATACATTGCGGTGACTGACCTACGGGTGATCAGACTTAAACACTGAGAAAAAAGTTTGTTAACTTATTCTGTAATACTAACAGTTTTTTCCGTATCGGCCGTGCTATTCGGCTTATGTATTACTCTTGGATCCAGGTATTCTCAGATTGAGTACATTTTGCAATTAGGAACTACAATACCTGGCTCATCAGTAAAAACACTTATGTGCATAGGGAAACTAATGATGCATACGTTATTTCTAAACTGAACCAGAAATTGTAGTTGCTAATTGCAAAATATAGTCCAGTTTCTGCAACAGTGCATTTAAACCGAAGCAAAAGCTCGGTTGTATGTATCGAGGATACAGTTTCTTACAACCGAGATTACAGTACATAATAAACTGAATAGTGCGGCCAATATCTATAACACTACACCTAACACAATTTTATGTGTAATTTTTAACTTTTGTTTTTTGTTTTTTTCGGTGGTTGAAAAAGGGAATGTTAACCCCGAAACGTCCCGTCCAAATTATTTTTATTTGCAGCCTGTACCCCGTGTTTTTCTTATTTCATTTACATAATTTGGGCTGATTAAATTGTTACGTGTATAACATACACTACACCTATATACGGTTAATGCGATCGAAGTTTTCTTTCTTAGCACAGTAAACTTGAACTTAGGAATACTTAAGAGAATCATGCATACTTCAAAATACAGAAAACAGTTTTGGAATTTCTCCGAAAAAAGCCATGTAATGGTTGGGTCATACTAACTTCTTACATTTTGAGGCGTTATTGAGATTATTTTATAGATTTCATACTTTCTATCATATTCGAAAAAAGATGCGAGGCTTTTTAAGTAGTTTTTTACCTTTATCATTTTAGAAAAATAACTTAAAGCAGAAGAAAACATGAAGTATATGCAAATGAATAATTTAATTTTTACATTAAATGTTCGACCCACTTCACGAAAAAGTCGATGAATTCTTTGAACTTCAGGAAGATATACTTAAGCTATAGGATTATTTGATGGATGATTAATTTGTCTCCAAAATATTGCACCACAGTCACATTGTTTAAAATTACGATTTTATCGTTTGTTTGTTTGTTTGTTTATTTCTCTGTCCGTTTTTTTTTGTGTTTTGTAATAATGATAAAAAAAATCTCCAATAACACGTTGATTTTACAAAAGCTTGCTCGTAAATTATTACTTCTCGTCTTGTGTGGTGTCGTTAATACTCTGTTGCTTAGATTTTATACTTGATCGAGAGCTTTTTTTCTTTTTTCTTGTTTTACCGCAATTAGTTTTATAATTTGATTTACAGTGAACAGTTTTTTGGAATCTTCTCGATGATTTTTTTTTTAAACAAAAGTGAACAATTTACAAAATTAAGAGAGTTTGAAGAAACACCCCTAGAGTTTACCGCATGGGCTTTTTTTGCCGACTCATCTCACCCTGATGCGGTTTTAAGATAGTTTTTTTTTCTTCGCTGCAGATGCGAGACTTATCGGTGACCTTGATGAGTATGCAGTCTCGTCAGCTCGTAATCGAAGGGATGCTGATTTGGATGTTGATGAATTTTTCCAGTGTAAACAACGAAACCAGAAGGTAAATCTCATCTCAAAGTAAATTAATATAGCTATTAAGGATATTTCATTACCATCATAAATTTAAAACGAAAAACGTTCAAACATTATTTCTGCCCTGGCGGCAATTAGAGCACTAGACAGGGCAAAAATTCTAACATAGTGTTACTTGGTCCCATTTGTACTATTTGTGCGGTACAAATTACTCATACCCATTCTTCAACGGAATACCAATTTTTTTGGTGTTCGTAAATAGAAACGCCCTACACATTCTTTAAAAAGCAAAAGCTACTCCAGTTTAATGAAACACCAAACGAAAAAATCAGTCATAGTCTCTTACGGTCCAACAAGAAAATGTGTGTAAAAAAAATGCGGCTGTGTTCTTCCAGAGGAAAGAGCATCAAAGACGTCTAGTCAATGAGGTTTTAATTTTGATTATATACAGGGCGGAAATTTTGGTCAATTTTGATCAATGTTAGGACAATTTTTGAGATATTGTGAAACATTGCCATGCCCTTCGAGCAATAATCTCCTTTCCACAACTTTTGATTGAAAAACAATCTTTGATGTACTGCCCACGGAAAATATTGCAGAATAGGGCGCATAGGCACAGGTAAATTACTGCAGGCCAAGTTGTCATAAAACGTTTACGTTCGGGTGCCATAAAAGTTTATTAGTGAATCACATGGTGCACATGGACGAGGAATAATTCTGTGTCATTATTCGATGGTGAAAACTTATCTGTCGATCTCTGATTTACTCTGGTTTACGATGCTTTCCTACCTGTTACAAAGGTTATAAGTAAAACTTGGTGAAAAAAAAAANTAGGGGACTCGGTTATTGTATCGAGGGGGGGGTCGAAACGATCGCAAAGGCGGTATACTACGTATACGCGCCAAAAAAAAAAAACAGTTTCCAAATTAAGCTATTGGTATGAGCGGAGTGGTAGTGGGGCCAACTTCATAAGCGTACAAATCATCTTAAAAAACGAAAAATTTACGATTCTTACGGTTGCTATCCTGCATTAAACGCATTTTGTTAGAGTATGTTGAAGTATGCAAGATGAGTATAGGAAGGTATGCAAAATTAGAGACATTTGAAAAATCTCCTCGTGTACTATACGTTGCGAGGTTTATCTAAATTAAGGATCATTTTGAGAGCAGGACCCTTATGAAGTTAATTGTCTCAGACTTATAAAGGACAATAACTTGATTTTTTTGCGTATAATTGGTATTTTTCGAACCACTCGAAACCTGACTCTTAACTGAAAACTCAAATTTTCTAATGCCACTAATGAAGTTAGCGTTTCAAATTGTGGGTGCATACCAATTTTCATGAAATTTTGCGCATTACCGTTGCCAAAATGCAGGAAGTAGGATGTATTTCCTAGAACTTTAGAACTTCTGTAAAAACACTTTTAGAAAGAATTTCATTGGGAAAAGAGCTTATTCTGACCCATAGAACACGCTCTTGCAGCATGGAGGTTCAACTTTAGCTTACTCTGTCTATAGCTGGGCGCAGTACTGCCGTGATAGCGAGGAGAGCCGTAAATCTCAAATTCTCGAAATCGAGTGTTCTTCCAAATTCGTCTATTCTCTTTTAGATAAAACAAAATTCGTCTTATTTTTATGAAAACGATGCACATGAAAAAGCCGTAAGCGCGCAAAAAATGCCGTAGTCCTGAAGAAAACAGCCATGAGGAGCATTATTCGACCTATAGAGAGCCAATGAAAACTGTGCTTTCAAATTAAATGCCTCACACCCTTTTTTCCCAATTTCTAACCTAAATATGTGATTGTTGCTTGTCCAAAACGCAACTATGAAAGCACGCAGAAGATAGCACTTATACAGCTGTCTGGCCTAACACTAGCCTAATATAAAAATGAATATAATACCCGTTTTATATAATCGAAATAAATTTGGTCGATTTTTGATCAACCAAACGATTTCTAAGAGCCTTTCGAATGATGGGTGGCATGGCAATTTGACATAGGACGGAGGCTTCTCTCAATAAAATTTTTGGCTCAGATGCTATGAGCCCATTTTCTCAAAAACTCCATTTTTGCACTCACGGCTCTCCGCGCTATCACGACAGCATAATCGATGCAAGTGGCACCGCCGGCACACGATTTCTCCCTCGATCTGCATTCAAATAAGAAAAGCCGTGATCGTTAGCGTAATTTGGGGAAACAGCGCGAGGAATCGCAGCAAATACATTACGCCCTTCGCCCGTTCTCAGTTGAGCTCCGTGATTCCACGGGGCAAATTACTTTTCGAGAAAAGTGCTGGCGAGCATTGCCGCAATCAACCATAAATGAGCCAGTTCTCCCATCGGAGTAGGGCAGAATAAGCCGAGTTCAGCCCAAGGTTCAGCAACGTCGCTGCAGAGCGGAAGGAAGGAAGCATTCGAGCTCAGCAGCTGTTATCTAAATCAAGCGATAAAAAGGAAACGAAGTTTAAACCGACGAAAAAATTGGATGGTGATGGTCGGAGCCCTTCGAGCAATTTCACTCGCGAGGAAATGGACCCGGACTTGTTCCGTCAAAAATTTCATGGCGAGCCGAAAAGGCCGACTGCGACTTGGATTTTAGCTACTCTAAGTATAAGCTCGAAATTCCTGAAAAAAATCTGATCAAAATGAGAGGAAAAAAGTAAAAGTCTTTAGTCCTAAACTCGTTATATTTCTCAGATTAAAAATCGACGGTGCAAGTCGGCAATCACATAACTCGTTTGCGGTGTCTGAAAATCTCCGCACCTATGTTATTTTTTTAAAGGCTAACAAATAGACATGATTCCCTGAAGTTTTTGCAGAATTTTCCTTGCAAATAGAAGAAAAATCACGGAAGTTTTAAATAATTACCGTTGAGTAGTTTTCCGTTTAAAAAATAAAGTATGACAGGAAGTCTGCGACGTCGCAAACCGAGTTATGTGATTGCCGACTTTCACCGTCGAAATGTTCCTTCCGGTAAAAAATTAAGAATGTTGGCACTCTTTTTCTAAATATAATAAAACTTGGACTACATTTTTCAGTTCAGAACTAAAATTTCTGGCTCTTCTGGAAAAACACTCATGTACGTGGAGTAACTAATGGTACATACGTCGTTTCGAAACTGAGTCAAATATTGTTTTTCCAAATTGCAAAATGAAGTCCAATTTTCCGAAGCGCCAAACTTTGATCAAAGACAATGTTATATACATGATGATTTTCAGTCATCAAGGAGTCTATTTTGATCCGGATTGGTTCAGAATTTGATCGTTTTTCCAGGCCTTTACAATTCGTTGGAGAAGAAAGAGGTCTCCTTGAGACGCTCCAATAGTCATCAGCGTCAAGGACCGTAATCAAAGAAGTTAAGAGTAAGAAATACTGTGAGTGAAAATTTCAGAGCATCTCTACCCAAATACGTGTATCCAGGATCTTACCGTTGATATGTGACAGGAAATAGTGGCGTGGCGTGCTTTGCGATTTATCGATCGGCCATTTAAACCTATAAAAAAGGATCGATAAAGTGGGTGTTTGCAACGAGCACCTTAATCGATTCTTTACCATAGCTTCATATGGGGAAATATCAATAAATTCCGCCTCGCCAGTGACTGAAACTGCTAGTGAGTGTTTTGGTGGTACCGCTGAAAGCCCGGAAATGAGATTCCACCGGTGCAGCGGCGCACAAATCAAAGTCGAAAAACGTTTAAGTTAAAGCTGCGCGCAGACTTCGACTATAAAATTGTCTCAATATTTCTTCTAGAACGCGACGTCTTTTAAAAGCCTCCACTACGCACGTACGCGTTTTCTTCGTTTCTTTTGTTTAATAAGGCACCTGTTCTCCGCTTCGAGAATTTGACTCATCCATTTTCCATCCAATCGTTTCCTCAATTTTCCCTTTAAATGCATCGCTAATGCCTAACTCAAAAATATCAGGAGCTAAATGATCTCCCACTCACTTCATTGTCTGCGTACCAGATCTGATGAAAAAATGGGGATTGGCCGATCCAGCAAATTGGCAACATTGTTTTCCTCCATTTAAACCTATGGAAATGTATCGGTTCTTGAAGGTGGCTGCCCCGACAAGAATCGATTATTTAGCATAGGTTCAAATGGAGAGAGTTCGGTGTTGCCAAATTGCTGGATCCACCTCTGAAAATGGGTTAGTTTCTCTTTTTTCCGATTCAATTGTTCACAGGCAGTTCGATTCGAATTTTTAAAAGTCGCTCCACGATTTTTCTTTAGAGCAGACTAGAGGGGGTAGAGCTGGTGCTGACCAAAAAAGGTGGTAGTATATTGTGTAGAATATCGTTGTATTCAATATTGACAATGACAAATTGCAAGTTGGCAGTACTGTTTTTCCTCCGTCTAAATCCATTAAAAATATCGATTTTAGGTGAGGCAAGCTGCCTCATTAAAATTCGATTGTTTTACATACATTTAAACAGAGGAGAGGCAGTATTGCCAACTTTCAATAACCGCTAGTGCCAGCCCTGGAATCGTTTTTTCTATGCACGTTCTAAATGTTTTCTTGATTTAGAGTTTATTATTGTAACAGGTATGCTGCGGAAAGAGCAGCCTTTTCAAAAATTTCGGTGATAAAGACAAGACCGCCGGAAAAGCATGTTACCGGGAGATAGCAGAAAAGCTCAAACGAAAGGATGGTAAGTAGATCGCATAAGAGAAAATTTGCTCTCTAATTTTACTACCCAGAAATCGTAGGACCCACTAAGTTAGAAAAATTCAGCGCATTAGCAACGTAAGGAGAGCTGGATCTACATCCTTCAAAGATAGAGGGAAGTTCAGAAGACTTAGAAAATTTGTAAAGAGAAACCTTTCAATATAAAGTTTCAGAGCAGTTTTAGTTCAAGATTTGTGAAATAATTGTGTGCAGAAAACTTCGTGGATTTTACCTTTTTAACTTTTATTTTTTACGACCGCATAAAAAATCGTTTCTGGATTGTAAAGCACAATTAAAATAAAGCAATATTATTTACAGATTTCAATATTTCCGTTTAATTAAATTTCGCAAGTTTTGAAGGGTCGCGTATTGCATATATTATTATACCTTTTTGACTAGAGATGCACCAAGTAGATACGGGTGAAAACTCGTTAATTGCATATCCAGATGCATTTCGGCCCAATAGGGGCCAACGTCAGTACAATACAGAGGAGCACAATATACAAGCAAGACACAAGCATTGGTTGGTGTAGGCATGCTGATTTAGAAATCAAACTAACAATGAGTAACTAACTGCAGCGTGACTACAAACAAAGCAAAACGAGGCTAAGCCGACTAGAAGCATTAATCATTATAATCATGCAACATGCATCAATGATTGGAGTGGCGGCAAGATTAGGTTCAATTTGAGCACTTAATATATCGATGTTGTTAAAACCCGCTATCCTAATTTCAAAAGATTCGAGAATTTTAAATTTTTTCTTGTTGTTGGGTTGGTGTAAAATATACATGCTGTGTGTTTAATTATTATAATTTTATTATTTTCAGATTTAGACGAGGATTTGATGGACATCTTTTCCTGCGAGCAAATTAAACAAATGAAGAAAAAACACTTCGTAAGTTTTAAATTATCTTTTCCCGATGTAATCCATGATAAATTTCTGATCATCTACTTTGCTGCTTCCCCTAACAAGTATTGCAGTCAAGTTGTGATTTATTTTAAAGCTACATTAATAAAAATCAAGCGAGTTATGCAGATCCAATCGCATCTCCGCTTTCCTCACACTTCCATGCGGAAAATTCACTTCGAGTTGCAACTTTGGTAGTGAATGTAACTGAAAAATCAGCCAAAATATTAGGGCTGCAGAGTAACAGTCTACCGGACATCGCATCCATGACCAATCTTGAATCTGTACGAAGTAGAATACACTACAGCTGCAAGGAATTAAGTAGTTTTTCTTCAGGTCTTCGCCCTCCATTCTCGGGTTACTTTTCATTCCTCCCACTTCATCCCTTTTTCTTTCCCATCATTTGGAATTGAATTTTTGAGTTAAACGCCCAGAATATCCATCAAAAAAACTGCTCATTAAATTTGAGAATCTCTTTTGCCGAATCAAACCTCTCAAATAGTGGAAAATTCGATTTGAGGCGTTGATTAAGATCATTTGATTCATCTTACATAATGGTAACCTCGCCCTTTGCGTAACTGTTGAAATATTTTGTAAACGTTGAATAATTTTTTTTTCTGTTTTCAGTGTATCCACGAGTGTATCGGAAAACGAAAAAATTTGGTGAGTGTTTTTTCTTCAGTAATAATTGTTTTTATTGAGAATCGGCTCTGAGCTAAATACTTAGGTTAGCTAAATACTTAAATTACTTAAGATTATGCGAATTTTCAAAGTGTAGTAGGCAGATTCCATCTATACTATAAGCTCCGAGACCTCCTACATTTGCATGTGGTAACGCTTGGTTCCAGCGTTCTACCGAGCCGATTTTTATTATTTTTGCGGCCATACCGACGGACAATTTTGTCTAGCTGAGCCCACTCTATTCAGATTTTGAGAATATGACCCAGAATTTTTTATATTGCGTGGCAAAGTTGCGAATTCTCCAGCGTTCTACTCGGCCGATTTCCATAATTCTTGTTTTTATGGACAGGTGATAGTCCCTACAGAAGCCCGCTCTAATTAGATTTTGGAAATAGGACCCAGGTTTTTTTTTATACAATAGTAGACCTGAGAGCTTAGGAAGGCAGCAAAATTTGCAATTCCCGCCAATTATATATGGCAAGAATTTCAAATTTAGCGGAAAATTGACCAAAGCGGAAAATGTTGAACCTTATGGTCTGTTAGCAGGTTGGTTGTTAGATACGTTTATTTGGTGCTTTTAAAATCTGAGCCATAAACACCTCAGAAGAGAGATCAAAATAGTGTAGTACAGAATTTACAAAATTTAAAAAGTAGGGGTCACAAAAGGGTAGTACAGAAAATTAAAAGATAGGATTAGCGATGTAGCGGCGAGGGGGCTTAGCCCCTAGAAGCACCATAAGTTCTCACAAGCTTTAGACCTTTAATGCAAGATTCCCCGATTTCAATCTGACCGCTTTTTCGCCCCTGCTTGCCTAATACTTACACACAGAAGAATGAGGAGTATGCTGCTATACTTGTGAGGATATTTGTAGAATCAAGAGAGAATGGGTCACGAACAAGAACGGCCCAGTGCGACGGCTGCGATGTTCCGTGCCGAGGCGACCGCTTTATTGCTCCTTTTACCCTAATACTTTACACACAGAAGATGGAGTATTTCGCTATACTTGTGAGGACTTGAAAGGGAGAGACGAAAGAGAGTATGTTCCGTGCTGAGGCGATCGCTTTATTGGTCCTGCTACCCTATTACTTACACACAAAAGATGGAGTATTTCGCTATACTTGTGGGGACTTCCAAGGGAGAGAGAGAGTGTCTTGTTTAAAATGGCCCGAAAAGCCGCAAGCCGCAATTTTTTTTTTTTTTAAATTAATCTCCTCTCCGTTCTTTCAAGTCAATATTTTTTCGAACATTTCGATGGCTATCTTTAAGTCATCAACAGCGTACATATCTTTATTGCACCTTTTAAAAATCTGAATATTCCTCATATTTCTGTAAAAGAAAAACTAACAAAACTGTTTGTTTTAAATTTCATATGAATATTTTTGATAAACGAAGAAAATTCATCGGGAATCTCAAGAAAGTCCTTTGCTTATTTGTCTTAAAAAAATTAACGTATAGAATTAATGGCAATTTGATCATGAGTTCCTTTGTGGCTTTTCTTTCAAATGATTCGTATTTTTCTTCTTCTTCTTTTCTTGTATTAAAATAATAACTTAGGAAAGATAGGAGCAAAGGTAACATAATGAGGTTGCACTGGACTTAGGTAAGAGTCAGTGAAAATTGCAAAAAAAAAAAAAAAAAAAAAAAAAAAAAAAAAAAAAAAAAAAAAAAAAAAAAAAAAAAAAAAAAAAAAAAAAATAGAGCGCGGATGGACAGGATAGGGAGTCACTGAATGCTCGAATGCTCCTTGAAGATTTTGACAAAAAGGCTAACCTCTCCCCCCATTGCGAATAGTTCAGAGCGGGAAACATCCAGAACATCTTGACAGACTCTAAATTTGCTTACTTCAATAGAGCTCTTGCAAGCCACGGGAATTTGAGATTCGAGTACCATATCTTTAGTAAGATTTCGCAAGAAAGACGACGATGTGTACTGCTGGTTTTTTCTAAGACCAGAAAGCTCAAAAAAGCTCTCAAAAGTTGAGACCATAATGAAGGGATTCTTTACAGTATGGAGAGAGTCCACTTCAATATCCAAAGCAACACTATTTTTGCTCCATTTGAATGTATGTAAAACAATCGATTCAGCGAGGCAGCTTGCCTCATTTAAATCGATATTTTTAATGGATTTAAAAGCAAGAAAAACGGTTTTGCCAACTTGCAAAATCGCCATTACTCCAGCGAGAATCAAAAATAAAACGGTGCTACGACTGCAGGTAATTTTTAAAAGAGGTCATACTCAGCATGGAGAAACTATTTATTTTGGGCACGCTTTGCGGTCTCTTTGCCCGGGCACCAGTCATTCCGGGTTTCGGCTGTGCAGTGCTCTTGAGACATAATTAAAGGGCAGAGACAAAACAAAGCAAAAGAAAGCAGGCGAGAAAGGCGAGATTATGGCGCACAGTCCGCGAACAGAACACTGCGGTATAGTTGGATGCATTTAAATCAAAAGAAACTATATCCATTTTGACTTGAGCCCTATTATGCATGTATCATATCGATCTCATGGCTCATGTCGAAAAGGATATAGTTCCTTTTCATTTAAACACGCTAGTTCGCGAACGCATAACAAACAGGCGCGAGGACCTTTAGTTCCATGCTCGAAGAATAAAACCGGCTCAAAGTACAGCTCATCTTCAAAAGGAGTCAAACAATGCGACAATACTGCCGTGCTACGAAAGAACGCCGTATGAACATTCGAGAGTTGCCAAATTTCCTTCGATAAAATGTTCATTTTTGCGGAAAGTCATGAATATTTTGCCTTGACATTTTCAGGGACTTCAGGCGAAATTGGGCAAAAAATTATCTGCGGAAAAATTGGAACGAAAATTTTCACAAGTTTACCAGGAAATTCGTGTTTTATCAAAGGGAATTGGCAACACATAAAGGTTCATACGGCGTTCTTCCTTAGCATGGCAGAATATTAACCGAGTCACAACGGGAGGATCAGGGACACACTCTGCGCCGCGCACAGGTCAAATTCACCAGAAAGTTAGGGTCTACCGGGCTTTTAAAGAGGGTTTTTTTTTTTTTTTTTTTNTTTTTTTTTTTTTTTTTTTTTTTTTTTTTTTTTTTTTTTTTTTTTTTTTTTTTTTTAATCTAAGGAGTACGAAATTGCGTGTCCTTAAATTTTGGAAGAGGAAGGATATCAATAACAATGGACCACTAGACAAGGTACGAATTTAAGCAATCTGATACATGTTTCTTGACCAGAATTTCACGTAGAATACGATTTGTGCAACGAAAATTACTGAAACCAACTTCTAACAAAGATATTGACGTTTTTATTTCACATTGGTTACGAGGAATTTGAACTGCCCGCTCACAAGAAACTCAAAGCTCTACAAGAGTCAAATCGCGCACTACAACGGTTTCAGCAAGCCTCTCAACCGAGCAATGTTCATTTTCCACCGTGTGTTGTTCAAACTATAAGCAATTTGCTACAGCTGAGCCAAAGCGTCAAGATTGAGGTTGCCAGATTTTTACATCGCAGAGACTGTCATGATAACGTTTAGCGTGCGATGTGAGTCACGTAGAGCATTGAGTTTTCATGAGCGGCTGGTTTGAATTCACGCATCAAGAATCATTAAATATCTTCGTAAGAAGTTAATTTCGGTAATTTTCTATGTGCGCATCGAGTTCTACGTGAAAATTTAGTTACGGAACATGTATCAAAATGCTGAAATTCGTACCTTGTCTACTGGTCCATTGTTCAAAATTGCCTCCTCCTATATACTCATCAGAAATTTTTGAGCGGAATTTTGAGACGTCATGTCATTAGGCTATTAATTTTGGTTGTTGCGGTCAGAAAGTATCTATATTTTTGCTGATTATTCTGTTTAAAAATGGTGTACGTGTACGTCATTATTATTTCAATAATAAAAAAAGAAGAAAAAAAGAAAACCGACAGACCGACACTTACTTTTCTTTTAACCTTTCTCCGAGGCGCGCGGAGGCTTGTCAAACATGTATGTATGTCTTGTCATATGCACATTAATGATGGATAATTAATTGACGTATGTTGTAGCTGAACGCAGATGGATCAATCAATGTGCTTAACATGCGAACATATCTGAAAAAAGAACTCTTCACAGAGGAGTGGCAACAAAAAGTTGGTGACAAAGCCATGGAAAAATGTTTCAATGAAAAATACGGTAGGTGGATTTTTTCCTCTGATTTTGCAGCGCTTACAAAACGCCTTCAAGAATGAAGAATACCGCCCCCTCTACCGTTCTTCGCCAGCCGTGGAATGGCCCCAATGAATGAGCAATAAATTAATAACTCCATAACTTAACAGTCACTCATGGCCAAGGCCAAAACAGATTATAATGGTTGTTTAAAAAGCAACTAATGCCTCACTGTAAAAAAAAATTTCACTCACATTCAGTATTATAAATATAGAACATTTCCTTGAGTCACTCAGATTTCTGAGTCACCCTGAGTACTTTTCAGCGGCGGAGAAATTTCCTTGCTCACGAATGAACGACATGGATTTGTAAAGGAATTCACTCAGCGTCTGAGTGAATTCCAATTCGAGTGAAGTAAATTCACCCATAGTTTCACCCGACACGTAGTAAATTTTACTACGTGTCGGCAATCATAAACTGCAATTATTGTTTACATCGTGTCTTTTCAAGAACCATCGTTTACATCCTGCGAGTATCACTCTGTCTAAAATCTGTTGCTTTCACAAATATTTATAAAGACATTAGACTAATTCTGATTTTTGCTAATTGTGAATTCTCTTTTCTTGCAGTTTCAAGCTGGCCCGACTCTGACAGTTCTGACGTTAAGTGCAACCCTATCTCGGTTCAGTTCCAACACTGCTTATGGAAACAAATTGAGCTGGTAAGTACCTTCATTTCGTTCGTATTGAGCAGTTCATTCTATTTGAAACAGTGAGAACGAAAACACACCAGCTCGAAAAAATGAAAATAATGGAGACGCACACAAAACTGCACAGTAGGTGAAGAAGTAAGTCCAAGAAAAAGATTTTTGATGCCGGAAGACAAGTGCTTCAGTACATTTTAAAGGTCCAAGTTGGAGCAGATGCGCTAACTTCAATGACCTTTACAAAGATTGACCGTCTGGAATGAAAATTTAGCATTTTCGATCTCACTGATTCATTTGTCAAGACGGGAAAGTTTGCCAGTGAGGTAAGAGGTTAGTGACTCCAAAATAATCTCAATTAAACTAGATCAGCTTGATTTGCCACGAAAACGGAAATTTCCCCAAAATCGAATTTTTTGGAGAAAAGTCAATTTCCTAGCGGTCAAATCGGTGCATGACAAAACAAAACAAAGGTCATTTGCAGACAGGAATTCTGGGGAGGACATTCACAACATGCCTGCGGATATTCCTCGTTGTTGCTAATTAAGTTTTTTCACTCAAATGCCTTAATGCATACTCCGTATAGAGTTGACCAGAGTCCCATGATTTGTTACAGTTGTAATCGCTCAGCCCACTATTGCGATCATTAGAGGTTTAATCTCGATGTACAGCACTCCTTAATAATAGCAAAACGTTCACTAACAACATGTTTCATTTTTTTGTTCCAGAACTGCCCTGATAGCGAGTGGAAAGACAGTAAGTAGTGATAAAAATAGTGGCGTGGCGTGCTTTTCGATGTATCGATTGTTCTGCCATTTAAACCTATGGAAAAGGATCGATAAACAGGGTGTTCGCAACGAGCACCTTAATAGTCAATCTTTTAACATAGCTTCAAATGGGGTAGTATCGATATTCGGTTATCACGCCTCGCCACCGAGTAGTGATGAAAATATACCTTCAGTACTAAATTCATTATGAATAGAGTACCTACAATATAATTTCACTACTGGCTGACTGATTGTTAGTTACGAATTTAAATATTAGACCTCCCTGGGATTCACTTGAGGGGCAAAGAAAGATAACAAAACATAAATCTCCTTACACTTAACTTACTAGTTGTAGTTCATACTGTATGTAAATCATCATATGGTGCTAGTTAAAATTGCGAGAAGTTCATATCACTTGGACGTATTTCTGTCAAACGGAACTATGTGCATCAAGACATGAGCCTTGAAACCTATAAGAATATATGCGTATTAGGGCTCACGTCATAATGCACATAGTTCTGTTTGGCAGGAATGCGTCCACTTGGAGTTCAATAAGCTCGCAGTGGATTCACTCCTCATGGCCAAAAAGCCTCTCTATTCACCACTTTTCCTAAGTGTTCATACCTGCCTGCGGGCTGATTATTGAAATTGATAGACAAAGCCATAGACAAAGAAGAAATAAAGAGAATGGAGCGATCCTATTGGTTGAACTAGGTGGTTCTTATAGACTAAGGGAGAAAATGCAGGACTTACTGAAGGGTCTCTCGCAGATTTCCGTTTGTTAGTCTATTCCCTACTTCCTATCTCCATTGCAACCACGCACTTTCCACCAATAGGATCCCTCAATACCCCTTTTGTCTTCTTTGTCTATGGCTTTGTCTATCATTTCAACAATCAGCTTGCTGGAGTCATTCATTCCGGTCCGTAGTCCTATGCAGTAATCCTCATCAATAGATGGTGGTACAAATTATAATTCTTCAGTTTTTGACACCGAACAGTCTCTCTCTGGGTATGTCTCAAAATGCAAAAATTCCTGGGCGTAATATATGATCTTCGTCTTTAATGTAATCAACCGAAAATTGGTACACATTCATTTTTTTTTTTTTTTTTTTTTTTTTTTTTTTTTTTTTTTTTGCGTAATAGCGCTTCTAGGACTTTATGTCCACCTAACTTCGTCCATTAAATAAATGTCCACCGCTATTTATGTCCACTAAACGTTAAGTCCAGTCTTTATTAAGTCCACATGATTTAATATCCAACCATGAATATGTCAAAAATTGTCAAAATTTTGGACATGTTATGTCCACATTTTTTTCTTCTCATTTAAATGACAAGAACCACCTCAAAAATGAATGCCCACTACTACTTCCTTCATTCTTAAAAACATTTCATTCATGAATCAAGTCATGAAAGAGAACAGAGTCTAAGAGCAGATAAAAACATATGTTCATGGGTACATTGCACGGATATGATGAAAACCAAAGCGGGAGCCTAGGAAACGCTCCAATGCCAAATTTCACATTTTTCAGTAACAGATGCAGTCAAAATTGAAAGTCTCTTTAACTAGTTATTTCGTGCGCCTTCAATCTTGTAGGATACTGTGCAACGCGAAATAGTAATACCTCTGACGCGAAATAGTTGCTTAAAGCGTTGCGGCGCGGCAGGCAACCAGCGCATAGGCGCCTACAAACCTAACAGGATACTTCACGCGTTGCGCAATGCATGAAGTATCCCGTTAGGTTTGTGGGCGCCAGTGCGCGTTCTGCGCTGCTAACACGCCGCTCCGCTCTGTGTTAGGCTCTAATATTTAAACTCGCGGAGTCAGCGTTTTTCAACTCATGATTTTGAAATGTTTGCACTCTCTGCATTGATAATAATTCCCTTTTAAACTGATGAAAAAGAAATATGTATACTACTGGAAAATATAATGTGTTTTTTGTAAATATAATAGCGGTTCCGTGTCAAATTTAATGATTTCCAAAGCATTCAAATTTATTATTTTATGTTTTGGGGTTTTGACTCAAGGAGGTTGATGTGCAAATAAGTTAAAAACAAAAAATTGCGTGCTTCTTAGTTTTTTTCCTCTTTTATTAATTTTTGTATAGTTTCTTTCATCACAACTACGGCTAATTGAGATTCATATCGATGCCATTGCTTGGAAAAGGTTTTACAAATATTTACCACGTTTTAAATATGTAAATGTTTTTTAAAATGAAGTAATCAATGTCATTAAAAAAAAGAATGTACATTTAAGGCATATTTTACATCGGAAATTTCAAGGATAGAGATGAAACCAAGTATTTACCAAAGACAATTTGAAAAGATGAATCAAAAGAAGAATTTACATTTCATTTAAAATATGAGTTACGATAACAACACCTCATTCTCTCTTAATTTTCTCATTCCGATATTGTCAATATAATTTTACACACGAACTAAAATATGACGCTTGAATTTGATTTTAGTGGACTTTACATTTGTGGACTTAACTTAGTGGACGTTTAAGTAATGGACTTAACAATAGTGTGGGCTTTAGAACTGTGGACGTAAAATTGTGGACGAAAAATCTGTGGACGTAAAAAAAGTGGACATAAAGTCCGTGTACCGTAATAGCTCCTTTTTGTCCTCAGACTTTCGAAAAGTCTTGAAACTGTTCCGATCTGTTTCAGCCCGGCGATGCAACAAGATCAAAGAGTACTTGCGGAAACAGGAGCTCTCACAGAAGAATAAAATCAGCAAGAATTGAAAATACTCAATGGAGATTCACTAGCGTGTGACTTGTGGCGCTGCGCTGGGATTCAACGCTTCCCACCCCACCGGTCGAGACACACGTGGGTCGACTCAGTAGTATAGAAATGAGGATATGCCAACACTTGACCTTTGACATTTAAGGTGTCACCAGAGGGAATCGGTGTGACATCACTAGCGACTGGTTAATTGTTGCGGGTTGCCTACNGAAACCAAGTATTTACCAAAGACAATTTGAAAAGATGGATCAAAAGAAGAATTTACATTTCATTTAAAATATGAGTTACGATAACAACACCTCATTCTCTCTTAATTTTCTCATTTCGATATTGTCAATATAATTTTACACACGGACTAAAATATGACGCTTGAATTTGATTTTAGTGGACTTTACATTTGTGAACTTAACTTAGTGGACGTTTAAGTAATGGACTTAACAATAGTGTGGGCTTTAGAACTGTGGACGTAAAATTGTGGACGAAAAATCTGTGGACGTAAAAAAAGTGGACATAAAGTCCGTGTACCGTAATAGCTCCTTTTTGTCCTCAGACTTTCGAAAAGTCTTGAAACTGTTCCGATTTGTTTCAGCCCGGCGATGCAACAAGATCAAAGAGTACTTGCGGAAACAGGAGCTCTCGCAGAAGAATAAAATCAGCAAGAATTGAGAAGACTCAACGGAGATTCACTAGCGTGTGACTTGTGGCGCTGCGCTGGGATTCAACGCTTCCCACCGGTCGAGACACATGTGGGTCGACTCATTATCGAATGATCGATAGATAGCATGGCTAAGATACGGATTTATCGGTCTAGGTCAATCGATAACATATCAACAATCGACCCGCTGCGAATCGATAGTTGTGCCTGTATCCATAGTTTAGTGACTTCGATCGATATAGAGCTCCTTTGAAAAAACACGGCGTATGACGTAATCCACCTTCGTTTCATTCGTGTTTTAAGTCGACCATCCAGTGCACTTGTCGCCGCTCTTCTGATGTAAGGGCGTATCTGCATGGATTTCAGCATGAGCCACAGAAAGCATGGATTTGTATGTAAAATAGGGCTCAACAGAGACGGATCCAGCAATTTGGCAACACCGAATTCCTTCATTTAAACCTATGCCAAATAATCGATTCTTGTTGGAGCACTGGCGTCTCCAAGAATAGATACATTTCCATGGGTTTAAACGGAGGAAATCCGGTGTTGCCAAATCAATGGATCCGCCAGTGGGGCTCAAGTGGAAATTGAGATACGCCCTATACGACACTATCCGCATTGTATTTAGAGTAACAGCTTTCGGTGCTGAAGTGCACATTCTCTCGTCTATGACTAAAAACTTGTTCGCAACGTCCATGTCCATAAGTTGTCAGCAAAATGCATCTCAAAATATAACCCCATTGACGATTAGACGTCAGAGACGCCCATGGAGATAGACGAAAGTTGTTTCTTTGAAAGATCTTTCATTGGATTGATATTAGAGCAGGAGTCCATTTGTAAATGTCCTTTTGTTGTTGTTAATTTTCAAGAGAATTTAAGCTTAATTTATTTCGATAGGGGTTAGTTGATAGTTGTACATAATTAAAAAATTTTCAAAATTGAATGGGGATTTTTAATTCATGCTATTGAGACGTGCTGAAGAGTGAGACGGTACGTGAAAAGGATGCCTTACCTGGCACGCAAGATTTCGCGAGTGGCATTGAAAAATAATTAAATACATTTTTTAGAAAAACCCGATTCGCACTTTTTCCCCTGACTCCAACAGGAAAGTTGATTTCCATGGAGCAAAGAAGACGGTTTCGGCAATGTTATTAAGGTTGAAACCCGAGGCTAAGACCAAATTTTGGAAAATAAACACCAGGAACCTAGTTTCCGAAACGCTAAGCGTCAACTACTTAAAGCACTGCGTCGAGTTAGCGCCGCACGATATTTGTGGCGATTGTGTCTCAAAATATTTCAAGACATCACGGCCGACTGAAAACTTTTGGTGAACAGCTTAGGAACTTCGTCGAAATTCAGATTTAGTGGTGGCACAAGGTTTGACTTTGTCCTCTTATTCATATGAATGTAACACTGCATTCAGAATATTACTCTGCCGTGCTAAGGGCGGCTTTAACGCCGTATGAGCATTCAGACGTTGCCATATCTCCTTCAACAAAAACCGAATTTTCTGGGAAAATTCTGAACATTTTTCCTCCAATTTTTCAGAGAATTGTGAACAGAATTGAATCTAAAATATCTGAAAATTTCAATAAAAAATATGCATAACTCTCTTCAAAAATACAGGTTTTATTCCGAGAAACTTGGCAACTCTCGAATGTTCATACGCCGTTCTTTCTTAGCACTGCAGCACTGCTGCCAGGGACTATTTTTATCAACCCAAGCAATTACTGCCGAGGGACTTTGAAGAAGTTAATACAATGGGCTAGGGAACAAATGATTTTCTTTTTTTATTAATTTATTTATTTATTTATTTTTTTAATTTTGTAGTGCTAGCAACAATAGTTCTTCAAGTCTCTCTTTTTAACTACAGAGCACACGTTTGAGTTATGCCGTTATATTCACTTGGCATAATTTACACAACTTAACGAAGCGTTGACATTGACAAAGAGATTTAAATAATATTTCATGATGACATGGGGGACAGTGAGGGGTACGATGATTTAAAAAAAGAGGGGAAAACCCGTTTGATCCTTGCCAGGCGTATTGAGGGGTGGATCGTAGAACTTCGATGTGTGTTTTTAAGTGCTCTTATTCACGCACGCATTCTGCTGCCATCAGTTAATGCTTTTAACTTCCAAATGCGATTTCCCGAGTTTCACAGCCAAAATCAACTCATTTTCCTGTCAAAAGTGTTTGGTTTAGAAATAAAAAGATGAAGGTCGGATGGAAATACATCAAAAGATGGCGTGCTTGTGACGTTGTTATAGCGGAGGAATAGATGGAGAGGAAAAGACCAAATAAGAACGCATCAGATTACGGAGCATCTTCTGGTTTTATTCTCAATATTTTTTTTTGAAGGTTTACTTTCTTTGAGGCCGATAACTGCCGTTGAGAGCCACATGACGATTGAATATGATAAAATTACGTACGATAATTTAGGGAATAACATCAGAGCTAAAAATGTTTTGCAATCACATCAAGTTAGTGTTTCATCATTGTTTCATTAATAGTGTTTGGTTGGCTATGATTTAGAGAAAACTGAACGTGTGAATTTTTCCAAAGAAATGTTTTATTACGAATTCCTTATACCATTTCATTTTTAAGACAAATAACTAATCACTATCATCTCAAAAACTTGTATGAAAATGTTCCTTTTGAAAATTGGTCCACACCTCGTACCACAGGTAATAAAATTATTTTAATTCCGTAAAAATAACGACGTAACCAACTTTACGATGTGTATTGAACATTACTACCTAGAACAGACTAATGTGCAAAAATTCTCCGAGACCCTGAAACGATTTCTATTTCAACGGTATAAGTCGGCAATCACATAACTTAGTTTATGACATCGCAAACTTCCTGTCATACTTTATTTTTTAGACAGAAAATTACTAAACGGCAATTTTCTTAAAACTGCCGTGATTTTTCTTCTCTGTGCGAAGGAAATTCTGCAAAAACTTTTGGCATTGTGTCAATTTGTTTTCCCTCAAAAAAATAATATAGTGGCGGAGATTTTCAGACACTGCAAACGAGATATGTGATTGCGGACTTACGCCGTCGGTTTTCAATTATTGATCCATAAGTCACAAATACATTAGCGATGGCTGATTTTTTTTTTTTTCTATAAAGTGAATGGTTGAATAATATGGCCTTAAGTTGACATAGTCTTGTATAAATTAGACGTCACTTTCAACTCAACTCCGCTTCATCATAATACTTTAACCTTCGCCCTCTTGTCCTGCCCCTGAGAAGATTCACGAGCTAATGAAGACGAAGAACGCCCGATGGAAATACAAAGCACGAGCGTGTAGGACGTGATGCATAACAAAGCAAAGGAAGGCGCTACACATACCCAATATAGTGAACAATAATCCTGACTATTTATGAGCCACTCCGGATTCACTCGCTCGTAAACCAAAATTGAGTCAAAATTATTCATAAACCCTCATCTGGTCCATGTCATATCAGTCCATTCGAGTTGCTATCTTCATCATTTAAAACTGTTCCTGTACAACAGTGGGACCAGTGGGACCTTTTGCACAAGAAAAAGACACATACGACGCAATCCATGTGGCTACCTTTCATACAGTAATGATAACCTTGCAACTTTCAATCAAAACAACAGTAGCTTATTGTAAGCAAACTCGGAGTTTTTACTCTGATTGTACTCTGTTTGTTGTTTTTACTCTGCACGTGAAATGTATTTTGTTTTATTATTTTCTCCGTGAAACAAGTTGATACAGATCTGAACGACGAATTTAGTGTTTTGTCTTGTTTGTCAAGAAATTGAACTTGCAAATCAACTCGATGAGCTTAAAATGTTGGTAACATTCTTAATCCGCAATCATTGTTTCCCCGTGGGTACCTATTTTGCCTGCCTGATACGAATTAGGGTTGCCCGTTAAGTATTTGAGGAAACCACAATTAATTGTGGTTTCCTTTCAGATTTCGAGGGCTCATTCTGTCGTGTTTCTACACTTCATTCAGTTTTTATTTGCCTCTAAATATTTCGTTTATCTTATTTTCCATAATTTTTATTAAAAAGAAAAATATTGACCGTAAGAATTGAAGCGCTGGGGCTCTCGCACTGAAAAAGTAATAAGATCATGCTCTACATTTAACGAGAACGGATATAAAAAAGAAGAGGATAATGAAATAAGCAAGGAGGAAGAAGAATCAAGGCTTCTTCTTCCTCCTTTAACTTCCGCCGCCGCGCCGCGCTGACCGCAATGTGTTTGGCGCAATGCGTGAAGTATTCCTACAGTCTTGTGTGCGCTATGCGTTTCACGCGGACCGCTGCGCTGCTGCAGCTGCACGCTGCACGCACCGTGTTTGACGCAATGCGTGAAGTATTCATGCAGTCTTGTAGGCCCTATGCGTTTCACGTCGCCCGCTGCTGACCGCAGCAACCGCACTGTCTTTGACGGAATGCGTGAAGTATTCATGCAGTCTTGTAGGCGCTAATATGTCTTACATACCGACCGCCGCGCCGCGCCGAGAGTTTCTCCTTTTCATCTCAAGTTCTCGTCATCATTGCTCTCTGCGCCGCGCCGTTCCAGGCCTTTCGTGTTTGGTTTCTCTCTAAAAGTCTTAACTCGACTAATTAAAGGTGCTATCTTTTGTATCAAAGAAAGACGACAAAATTAGAGATATACTCTCAGGAAATGAGAGATTTTGTCACCTTTTCTCGTTTATGATTTTTTTTTCTGAATCCGATTTTTCTTTTTAGCTACATTTGAAAAAATTGCAAAATTTGCTGCCATGGGCCGCGGCCTATGTGGCCACCCCCTACATCCGCCCCTGATTACGACGTGTGAGGGTGTGCGTCCGTGTGTGTTTTTTTGAAGTATCTACTTTACTGCGTAAATTTTGTTGATTTCCGTCTGATTATTTTGGTAACTAATATGTGAAGAAATACAATCATTAGAGGAGCTCCCTGCTGGTTCGGATGAACAGGGGAGCGGATCGGAGAGGCCGACTGAAAAAATACAAGAACAAAACGGAACGAATAAAGAGGAGACGGATGAAGAAATCAATAAAATAAAAAGTAACGTGACTTTGATATATTGCATGATTTTTCATGACACTGGCAACAATGCTGCGGAAGCGGAGGCGCATGCGTCACGTGGATGCAGTCGCCGACCATGAGCGAAAATTATGAGAAGCACGTACCCCCTATTCATTTTAGAGCCCTTACCCACCCATTTTCTGGCAGTTTTCGCAATTTATGGACTCACCCCGAGCCCCGCTTTCGAAACTTAATCAAAATTGTGATTTGTGCGGTCTGACCTTGTTCGGCCGGGACTCCATTTAGAAGTATGTGATTATAGTTACTACTAACACTTGAAGAGGTTGTATTTCTGGGAGGAGAAGGAGGACGGCTCTCGACCCTGTTTTTGACCATGTGATATCCATATAGGGAGAGTATTGCTATGTTTGAGTCACTCTGTGTTTGGATCATCAGTTTTGGGCTTTTCATGAAGCTCTTAAGGGCCGACGTAAACCAGTGGCGTGGCGTGCTCTGCGATAAATCGCTTGATTTGCCATTTAAACCAACGGAAAAAATCTATATACAGGGTGTTCGCAACGAACACCTTAATGATCGATTCTTTACCATAGCTTCAAATGGCGATATATCGATAATCGATCATTCACGCCACGCCACTGACGTAAACGCACCCGATCAAGAGAGAGTATTGTCAAATGAGAAAGCAATGACACAGAAATAAAGTAATCCTTGGCAAAAATATCCATCAGAATTGTTCAAAACTTATTTCTGAGGTTGTAAATGAGAGACCCCTTACCGCGCCTATAACACTCACTGAGTTATTTTAAGCGCTCAGCCGATCAACGAACTACACCTCTAGAATGGCCGCGAGATAGCAAACCTGCGTAACGCGCATGGGCCGGTTTTTGAAGGCAGGAGGGGGGTGGGAGCCCAAGTATAGCTAACCTCAATCTCCATTTCTGCTGCGTCTTGCCCATAAGGATTACATGTGAAAATTTCAACCTTTGTAAACTTTCATATTTTTGAGGTTTTCTTTCAAAGTTCCTGTTTTTTGAGTAAAGAAAACCTTTTGAGGTGCGATTGTTCAGCAATCTTTTCATTTCTATCACTTTATTCAACAATATTCGGCAAAATGTGGGCAGCGTTTGACATGGGTTTAGATGGCAGCCTGCTGTGTGAGCCCAAGTAAACCTAACCTATATCAACTTCAAAACGTTCCGGGTCTCTAACACTGGTCAGCCATTCTAGAGGTGTAGTTCGTTGCAGCCGATAGGCAAGCGCTTCTTGTTTTCGTTTTGCCTATAGAGTTCTTCTATAAAAGAGCGCTCAAGCGATTGAATAGCTCACCAACTCAACAAAACACGGCCGACGAGATTCTTAGACTTTTCTCTTTAATAGCTAGTAATACCACCTTTAACGTCTTTAAATATAAATTAGCGGATGAAATAAGTAATATTCCCAAAGTTTTCTTTGCTGGAAAGTATATAGTTATTTTATTAGTATGTCTGAAAGTCCAGGTATTGAGCTCTTTCATCCGAGCTTTTTGCCACCGGTGATGACTTTTTCTGAACCTGTTAAAATTCGCCTCCAAGTGACACAGCTGTTTCGTTACGGTTACCATAGAAATCTAACCGCTGAGCGCTTTTCTAATACCTACGTATTGGAGCTTTCCCGCTTGTTTTTCAGAGATAGCCACCATATCATCATGCGCCAACTCCTTACTGCATTTTCGTTCTCCCACACAGAGAAAAATTTACCCGAGTCCTTATAGGATATCCTGTAAATATTTTCTTTATTTGATAGCCTTTTAAAATAATCGGAATTACCTTTGGCCCAATGGGATTCTTATCACGGAGACCGAGAATTCCAGCTGACTCAAAGAGGCTCAGGGAACTCCTCTTCAGTTAAGAGATTCCCTTTCTCGTCTTTGATATAATTTTTGGGATAGTGAATTTTCACAGACCGATGAGGGATTAATTTCTGCTCAAAAATTGAGACAGCAAGTATATTAGTTCCGTTAAAGTTGTAATAGGTTATCTTAAGTTCCGTTTGAGTCGCGCGGCATGAACCGATGATGCGTTACTCTGACATCTTATTGTTAGATACCTCTTGTCCTTCTCTCCTCTGACAATTTTTTTACTTCCATTTTTGCCTATTCATGAAGAATTTGAATGTGACCTTGGATCAGAACTGGCGAGACATTGTAATGAGCCTTCCACGACAGATGGACGTATTTCTGCCAAACGGAACTATGTGCATCAAGACATGAGCCCTGAGACCCATAAGAATTTATGCATAACAGGGCTCACGTCACAATGCACATAGTTCCGTTTGTCAGAATACGTCAAGATGAGGCGTGACGGACTAAATTTTAGAGCAATTGTTACAACGCATCTATTTGGAGCATTCTCAGTTATTAGGTGAACAGAGCTAGTCTTCGAATTGCTTGCGGAGGCGTCCCGTCACGTTCGTTCGAATACTCGGTATCGGTTTGTGCTCGTCGAATGCTCGTCCATCTTTGATAGAATTTTCCCCTCACTTCAACGATCAATGGTGCAAACATTTAGTCTCTCACTCAAATCTGAAGTGCAGACTGGGAAGTTTCCAGTGGCGTGGCGTGAATTGCGATGTATCGATTTTTATGTCATTTAAACCTATGGTAAAGAATCGATTATTAAGGTGTTCGCAGCGAACACCCTGTTTATCGATCCTTTTCCATAGGTTTAAATGGACTGAGTTAAGCAGAAAGGAACCAACCCACATTTTGGAAAAAATTGAGTTATGAGTGGTTTTGAACTCAACCACTGCTTTACTGTCTATCGCCAAAAATTCAAAGTTTTTGCTGGAGCAAATTTTGCAGAAACTAAACTTGAAGTTTATCTTTTACACTGAGTCTTATGCAGGAGCCAACCTTTAAACCTTTTTTTCTCGGTTCGAATCCAATGTGGCTTGGTTCCTTTCTGTTTAACTCCGTCCAAATGACTTGACAATCGATACATCGCAAAGCACGCCACGCCACTGGAAGTTTCATTTCTTGAAATTGTGATATTTTTCAAAAATCGTATGATTTGATTTAAAAGGGACTTTGGATGATGCTTTCAAAGGTTTATTCGAAAATCTTTCACAAAACCCTGTTTGAAACATTAGTTAATACGCTCAATTGGAACATTATGTCAGCTTAAAAAGAAGGTTGATCAGGTAAGTGCTTCAATTCCAGTTCAAATTTCAGAGATCACATTATGAGAGAAGAGGAAGGGGTGCAAATGCACCTCCTACGTTATGGGCTCGGGGCAGCCCTGCCGTGCTAAGGAAGAATGCCTTATGAGCCTTCAGAAGTTGCCAAATCGCCTTAGACAAATCACGAATTTTTGGGAAAGTTCATCGATATTTTTCGTCGCACTTTTCAGAGAATTTTGTTCGTAATTTGATCTAAAGTGGCTAAAAGTTCGAGGGAAAATATTCACAACTTTCTTCAAGAATAAATATTTTCCGAGATGAAATTTGGAAACATTCGAATGCTCATACGGCGTTTTTCCTTAGCACGACAGAGCTCCACCCGGCTATTTTACAAAACGAAAAGGCGCGGAAGGGAGAGGTAGAGAGAGAACGCCTGCGGTACACGGTATAGACAGAGGGAAAGAAAGGAAAAATAAAAACGGTAAAAATTGAACAGATCGTCGCTCCTAAGGCGTAAAGGCGCGCGTCGATTTCACATGAGCCCCAGAGATCATGTATTTATCTGTAAAACAGGGCTCACGTGCAAATTGAGATAACGCCCTTACGCCAGAGCGGCGACGAAATTTCTCATTTTGATCCCTCCTTTTCCTGCAAAAATCTGAAGTGATGCTTCACAACACCTCTGTAAAACTTACCAGCCCCCCACCCCGGGAATAAGAGGATAAAACGTATATATTCGAGACGGTGCAGAAAAAAATGAGACGCGGCACACTAATAAAATAATTCATACGTTTCCTTAGGAGGATTAGCTGAGTAGTGTCCCGCGACAGGCTGCGCGGGTGACTTGTAGAAGGGACGACGTGGTAAATACAGGGACTCCCGAGAAATGAGGAAAAAAGGGATCTCAAAACGGACCACGTTGTTGAGGTGAGGCTTACGACGGCGTTGCCAAAACTTCAATGGTGCGATCATTATGAAACCCTAAAAAAGTGAGAAATCGATATCGTAATCGTGAAAGTTTCCCCTCGTCAATCTTGAATGTGGGTCATATGGAGGACCAAATGAAAATTTTCAAATTTTAATTCTTAAGGGTAAAAATAGTTTCTTTGACTTCGTCCTATAATTAGGGTATTCGTCCTGTTTGTCTAGACATCAACGTAGGAGGCATGTGTGGAAACCAGTGGCGTGGCGTGCTTTGCGATGGATCGATTGATCTGACATTTGAACCTACGGAAAAGCATCAATGAACAGGATGTTCGCAACGAACACCCTAACAATCGAGTCTTTACCATAGCTTCAAATGTGGAAATACCTCGATAATCGATCATTCACGCTTCTCCACTGGTGAAAACGGACTCATCAACAAAAATTAGATTGCATCCTAAAGTACATTGCAATTTTCGAGTTTACATCAGAGTTACGGTACATTGACGCTGAAACTACCAAACCACGTGTCCCAGTTTGAGACGTTGCAGGCTCCTTCCTGTCATACTTTATTTTTGAAATGGAGAACTACTCAACGTCAAGTTTACGAAACTTCTGTGTCTTTTCCTCTTTGTATGAAGAAAACTCTCAAGAAAAAAATCAAGAAAAAATTAAACATTTCAAGAATTGATATTGATTTGTTCCTCGTCATAAAAATAAAATGGGAAATTTTTAAACACCGCAAACAAGATACGTGGTCTGGTAGTTTCCCCATCGATATGCACCATAGAGTCTATTAGTGATTACCGCATTCATGTCACTGTACCACGACCATGTTATTTTTTTAGACATGCCATAGACTGATTTATTGGCTACGTCACTCAGCATAATATCGAACCCTTGGTTCAAATGTAAACAAACACAGAACCTTGTTTCTGATTCGCGGAATTTCGCGCTCATTCGCGCCTTTTGCACAATGGTGGTAAAATGCGTCCAAGTGTTTCTTACAATCGAAAGTTTCTGTAATTAATGAGTCTTTGATGGATTTTACGACCGGTCAATGACTAAATTTTAATACATTAACACAATAGAGAATTTACAAGTGTCTGAAATTTTGTGAATTTCATCTTTATAATGATACTACTGAAAAACTGAGCGCGAGGATATCCTTAGTTAAATCCTTGTTAATTCCTTGTTATCCTTGTTATCTTTGTTAATTTAGAAAAATTGGACAATTATTGGAGAAAATATGACCAAAACCTTATCTGCTAAAATCCATGTGTTTAAATGGGAAATGCGGCCAGATGACGTCACAAGGTGACACATTTTCTCACTTTTAAATATATTTTTCTCCAATTTCCCATGTTAGAAAAAAATTATGAAAGATGATGCGAACTCAGCTCATTAGACATACTCTCAGATGAAGCAATAAAATTTGTATGTGCAAATTCTCCATTAAGACCTGAAGAATTCGCGCACGAAGTTATGTTAATTTGTTTTGGTTTGAAGCTCGATATTATATGGACTGACGTAGTCACTAAATCAGTCTATTGTCTTCAATGATATCAACTTTTTAGAAATATATAGATCGTTTTCGATAGTGGCTCGATGTATCATTTGGTTCAAAACAATAGAACATAACCTCAAACAAAACTTTCAGGATTTCAGTCGGAAAAGCTGAAAATGAGAAAATTCCTAACGATTTCACCTTGCGATGCCATTTAGTACTCATAAGAATCAAAAATCTATCAGAAAAACCCCGTTTCCTCAGCTTACTCGATTGACTTTTGAGGCTATGTTTACATGTTGAACCAATCGATATCGATACAATCTCGCCTATTTGATGTATCGAAAACGATCTATTTCCATGGATGTTCAGTGGATACCGACCTGACAATCCTGGTTATGTCCAGGGCACGAGAGTTCCAGCTCCAGTCCAAGCGCGGGAACCAAGGATTTGAATCGCCTCGAAACCATCTTGGGGCTAACCTCCTCAACTTTTCCTCGTTTCCGTCGGCCGTCGGCAGGGTCTTAGGGGTGACTGATAGGACTTCGGGGACGGGGAGATTCACCCCCGCCCGCCGGGATTCGGGCCGCCCGGTCCTCCGCTTGATGAATCGCAGTCGCCAACCAGGCTGCCACTTCTAAAGTAAACAAAATCCCCCCATTTACCTCGACGAGATGGCCTGGATATAAAGGGTCATCCAACAGTCGCTCACCACTCCTATGACTTTTTTCCCTACACTCAAAAAACAAGTATGGGAAGAGTGACTTGCGGCCGAGTTATGGATCATTGAGCCATAAAATATAGTTCGTAGAGCCATGCTTATAGTTTCACGACCAATACAGTATAGCTCAGAAAGCCATACTGTAGACGGTAAGTCACTTTGGTTAGAAATTATGGATTTCCGAGTCATTTTTTTGGGGTCTCAGAGTCATACCTTTTTTTGAGTGTACTTGAGATAGGAATTGGAAACTTTAGGGCTGTCCCTTGGTCGAAAATAGAACATTTTTGGTCCTTCCAACATCTCTAGGGGGATTGGGGAGGGTAACTTTTTAAGTCCTTACGGAGGCATTACAAATGGACTTCATTTTGCAATTTGGAACTATAAATTCTAGCCCCGTTTAAGAAGAACGTATGTGCCATTAGTTTCCCTATGCACATAAGTGTTTTTCCAGAAGAGCAAGATTTTATAGTTCCTAATTGCAAAATGCAGTCCAAATATGAATTACGAATAAGAATACGAATACGTATATGAGTGCGTATTATATGAATGCGAATACGAAATCTTTCCGTTTACGAATAAACATTCGAATACGCGTTTCAATGACTCATGTATCGCCGGATGGCCCTTCAGGCGTTGCCGTATTTTCCACGAATTTACTGAGATAATCAAGGATATTTCTTCAAAATTTCAAAAAATTTTGTTCGCATTTCAATCTAATATACCTGAAAATTCATAACTTTCCTCAAAAATACATGTTTTACCCGGGGAAACTTGGCAACTCTTGGATGTTCATACGGCGTCTTCCTCGGCATGGCAGTATAACTCTATACAGTCGGGAGCCGGCCGCGAAACAGTGGTAATTGAGGAGCGCTTTCGACCTTTGCGCAGGGCTCCTACACTACCCAGGTAGCAATAGTAACAGTTCAAAATTGCAATTTCACAACAGTTTTTACACTGTTACTTTTGTGCACTTTTTCATCGAAAAATTTGCTCTAGTACAACAGTTGAAAAACCAACGGAAAAGAGAAGTCCTTTGCGACTATAATCACCGAAAAATTTTTCTTACATACTTAAAAAATACCAGTGGAAAATTTATAATTTAGTCATGTTTTCTGAAAATATAACACAAATTTAACTAGTGTTATACACCGATCGAAAAGGAAACTATTATTGCAATAAAAACATACTTAGATTTGAAATAAAACGACGGTTTAAAATTCTCAATCAAAATCACTTATTTAACAAAACTTTTTTAAAGAAAGGAAAGTAGATTAACATTTTAATAACTAAAAAAAGTTAAAAAAATTATTCTAATTTATTTTTTTTTAAAGTTGATTTCATAAAACACAGAAGTAGACCATTTTGTTTTAAAAAAGCTATTTTACAAAACATAAAGTATTATACTGTACTAATGAGAAAAATTTAATCTAAATCAATAAAAAGATAAAAAAAAGACAATAAAAAACAAATTTAAATATCTCATTTGTTGCCATATTTTTGCAAAACACATTCTTATAAATAATCATGAAATATTAATTATTATTACATTATTTATTAAACAATATTGGTGAGAAACTATTTTTAAATCATTGTTTCCTGAAAACCGGTGTAGCTTTAATTTTTGTCGAAAAAGAATCCTTATAAAAAACTTTGATAACTATTTATCACTAACAAGGAAAATATAATTTAAATCGATAAAAAGATACAAGTGATAGTGATAAAATGACAGTTTAAATATCTGATTTATTGCAGTTTTTCTGCAAAACATTTTATTTTAAACAGTTGTGAAATATAAATTAGTATTACATTATTTTTTTAAATACCGATTTTAATTTCCGATTGTTTTATTGTAATCGGGGTGTTTCCTTT